AGCAGCGGGCTCCGATGCTGAAGGCAGCCGCATCTGCAGGGCAGGCCAGCCTGGGCCAGTGTTGCTGTTGCCATCTGCCACTTTTTCAAGATTTCGCATCAAAAGGTTCGACCAGGGTCCAGGGATTACATTTTCAGGGTTTTGCTTTTTCACTGCCCAATGGGTGCTAGCCAACATGAAGCAATCCTGCAGTATGCGAAGGCTGCTTGCAGGCTGCTCATGGTTGGTTACTTGTAAGTTATAGGGTGGGCAGTGCTGCCTCAGAAGCCCGTGATCTCTCGGCCTTGTGCAATCTTTTGCCACGTGAAGCAAGTTTCCAGTAGCAAACCACCAACAACGCCAAAAAAAAGTTGCTAGCGCGCTACTTCCACATGTGTAGTCGAAACATCTTATTCCAAGCAATGTGTATGTATCACGTAAGATTTCAAGGCACCTGTTTGCTTGCCTGTTTTGCCTAACTAGACGCTTCAAAAAACATGTTCATTCACATTTCTTGCCTGCCAGGTTTTGAAATGCCGTTGTTTCCATGGCTCAAGCTTGAAGTGGTGTATTATTTACCCCCCATCCCCAAACCGCACAGTGCTACCATGTACATCATGTTTGTTGTGCCAGGTGAGTTAGGTTGAATCGAGGAGATCAACGTGTGCCCCAGGAACTGTACCTTTGATGAATGGGATTCGGAGAACCAAGATCTCCACTTCCACAACACACTGTGGTACCATTTCAGGAATGGCCAGCCCGAGGGTGAAGGCTTAAACTGCATTGACGAAGCTCGAGATATTGTGCTGGTTCTTTTGGATTGGCAGCTTCGCAATGGGAGACAGGAAGTTCTGTGCTTCAACGTTAATAACATGAGGGTTGAATTTCGTTCCTGGCCCGTTAATTGGGGATAGGCAACATATGTTCTTCTGGTAGGACTGCCGTTTGGTTCTAAGCCCCAAAAGTACCTTGCTGAGGGTGTGCTTGGAAGACCCTGCTGGTTTGTTGGACACACACAGCACCAGTAGCGGTTCCAGCACAGACCCTGCAAGTTAGTATGCTGGATAATGTGTTTCTGAGCTTGCTAAGCCTTGCTCAGTTTCCACGTGCCAGGTTTTGACCAGAAAGCAGTTCCCGGCAAAAGATCCTGCAGCAAACTGACAACTTCACAAATCTTTAGCAGTTCCAGGCTTCAACCGAACTAGAGAGACTTGACCCACAGCAATAATCCCTTCCAAATCAAAACCACATGAGAGTCTACACAATCACAACCAAAAGTTTGAGTCGCTTCAACTACCTTCAAAACCTCCAACTGCTGAAAGGAAGGAACTGAAGGGAGCGCCTCTCTGATTGATTGGTTCAAGGAGAGAAACTCTTCCTCAAAGCAAGCGCAAGGCTGTGAACACCCATGGCTGTTGCATGCACGGTCACCCTTAAGCCTACTAGTTGATTGCAAGGACACCGCGTAATCCTGCCTGCCTTTCAAGAGGGCGCAAGCGGAGCAGACAGGAACAAAACTGCCAGTGTCACCCAAAATTTGGAAATCTCGCCCAACATCCATGAAGCAATGCTGGCGCAACATTCCTGCAAAATCTGGATCTGGGATCCTATTAAATGTGGATTTGGCGGGGATTGCACCTCCAGTATCAGGGTGTGCGTGCTCCAGGCAGCTCTGAGAACCTCCAAGAGCACCCTGCGCACTTGCGCCACAGGCACTTTCGGCATCAACAGTGACGGGCTTTGGTTGGTTTTGAAGACAGGGCAAAGTATCAACCTGGCTGGACCCTGGGCGCATACTTGCATGACTCCCAAGTTCAGCCTGGAGAGAAATTACCACAGGCCCCAAAACCTGCCCAACTCCCTACACTTTATTATCCCCTGGCTTGGTTTTATCCCCTTCACCTCCTTTGGGGGATCTGGACCTTCCACTTCTTTCCTTGTTGTGAGTGACCTGTTGCAACCCAGGTGGCGTCTCCACATCCATGTCTGTTTGCAGGTTGCCTGGTGGAGGCGGATCAGTCTCAGAAGTTGAAGGAAGCGTGGTGTCCTGCTCCCCTGCAATCTGAAATCTGAGCCCCGCCAGCTTGGCCGCTTGCTCCTCCGTGATTTGGATGCCTATGTCCTGAAGGGTCTGAAGAAGGCTAGGACCAGGAGGGGGCTGCTCCGCCTGCGCACGGCCCTGCAACTCTTGCTGCAACGCAGTCACCTCCTGTTGCTGCTTGCTGAGGGTTTCTTGGAGCTGTTGCATCTCCGTGAGAAGATCAGTGTAGGCAGCCTTTGTCTTGTTGATCTTCAACTGAAGGGTGCTCTTCTTGAGGATGAGCTCTCTCAAATCCGCAGTAGCAACCTTGAACTTTCTGCTGGTCTCTGTGACCATTGGAGCCTTTTCCGGTTCAGTTTGCTTTTCAAGTAGCGTCTTGATGCTTTCCGGAAGTGCATCAATGCGCTGCCTGCAGAGCTCCGTAAGGTCTGGAGTAGGCTGAGTGGGCTGCTCCACTCCCATGAGCTTGAGCACATCCTTTTGCTCATCCGTTGCGGACTCAAAAAGGCCTTTGGCAATCTCCGCTTGAGCTGGCGTGAGCTCCTTGGCGGGAGGGTATCCCTTCCCTTTGCCAGGGCACTTGTCACCCTTGGGAGGGTTTCTCATTCCCTTGCCATTTCCAGGCCCCGGACCACTTGGGTCTGATTGGACCTTAAAACCTGCCCCAGTGATAGCTTTCTGCGCCTCTTCCGGAATGTAATTCATGGGAGTGCTCGCGCTCTACAAGCTCTACACTACCCCCTGCCCGCA